ACTGACCACATGTGACGTGTCAATCATCAGATTCCAGCTGGGCCCTGAGATTGCTCATATCTGTATTTGAGAAGCAGAGACATCCCATTAAATGTCTTTGCTTTCTGTGATCAGCCACATGCTATAAAAACCCCTGCTAAAAATACTTAGTGCCCTATGGCAAAGGTGTCCCAGCTGAGGCAGGGAGCCCTGAGCTGCTTCGGAGGGGTCAAGGGGGAAGGCTGGAGTAGTAGGGGACATTGTTGAAACTGGTCTAGACTCCAGATGCCCATTGGTTTGGTGGTGAATTTCCTTGGTAAGACCTTGGGAGAACTCGCTCCATGAGCACGGCAGTGCACCCCATTCCTGCTCCAGACTCGGCAGACAGCTGTGGGCAGTGGAGTTGGGCCTGGCACCACCACCTTCCCACCTGTCACCTGGGCCAGATCCCTCACCTGCTGTGTGGAACTGAGGGCTGAATAAAGAATGTCACACTCAGCGCAGAGCCTGGGGCTGTCTGGGCTTGGTGTGTGGAGGCAGCTGTGAGTGGTGTTGGTGCTGCCTTCAGAGCTTCAGGAAGAGCAGAGGGTCCTTGCTGGTCTCCCTGTTATCCTGTCCCCCAGTGATCTTGGCAAAGGGTGCCGAGTGCCTCCACAGGGGGCGAGTCTCTGGCGCTGATAGTGGAGCTCCCTGAACAAAACTCAACTATTTCATGACCACTGACTGTTCTTGTGGCTCAGAGATTCCTAGTGTTCATGTTCTAAACGGTTAAATACCAGCAACTTGGGCTCTCAGTGCTGCTGCCCATCACCGCCCTGAGCATGAAACCTCAGTTCACTGTCACTGGAGAGAGGTCACGATTTCATACTTAGATAATTTTGAAGACATAATTCATACTTAGATAAAGCAGTTCCCTAAGAGGCATCTGGGTTTATGTTGCGTGTATTTGCCTTGAACACTGGACTCTGTCTACAAACAGATAAATGGGGGAGAGAAATATTTCAGGCTGTTGATCCCACCAGCACTCCCGTACAGAGCGTTGCTTTACTTTAAATATCCTGGATGCATTTCTGGGGTCGTCTTTGTCTCTCCACTAAGGAGGGTATTTTTCACACCTGAACGTTCTGTTCTGAATACAGTCCTGAAAGCCTGCGCTAAAGAAGGAGGCTCTTGGGAGAGCGGAGCAGAGTCCGGGGTGCTTCCTATCCGGGTTGCAGTGTTTCACCTACGTCAGTTCCTACCTTCGAGCCTTCCCCCTGACTCGCCAGCTATTCTTATTTAGCTTGCAACTCTTCCGGGCGGTCTCATCTAGTAGCAGAATATAAAGGAATTTTTTTTTCCCAAAAGAGATAATAAGATGTATTTATTATCTCATTTTTAACAAGGGTCTGCACTGAGAAAGAGCAGCCACAGAGCGTCCGCACCCTCATGCCCCGCGAATGTCCTCTGCAATGGGGAGTGAGGCCTCCACTTACCCCCGTGCTGACTGGAGGGGTGTGAGCCCCTCACCTCCTCCATGCGCTCATCGTTAGTCACTGGAGCTTCTTCCCAAGCCTCTTCCCATTGCATCTTAGCTGGGTGCCAGATGCTGTGCCTGCTCTTTAAACTGGCACAGCCCTGTGAGACAGACCCAGTTCTCACTGGGAGTTTGACGAAGACTGGTGCAGTAGAACATAAGCCCGCATCTCCCTTGAGTTCATGGTCCTCACTCTTGGTTGCCGGGTGATGGCCCGAATTTGTTCTCAGGGCACCGTTACAACAAATCATAAAACTGATGGTTTCTGAAGGACAGTGATTGTGTATTCAAGGAGCACAGCCATTTACTGAAATGAATCTGTGAGCTTGGCTTTCTTCCTCTCTTCTCCTAAAACTTGAGTTGCAGTTTGAAGGTTCTTATGTAATTTATGACATTGTCTCACAAGCTCGGCTTGACAGGGGACACAGAGAGTTCTGGAAGACACTGTCCTTGTCCTAGAGTGGGGCCAAGGAAGGTACATAAGCAGCCCTAGCAGTGGGTGTGATGTGACATAAAAAGGGCGGGGAGGTGGGAGTCAGGGAACTCCAAGGCAGGAGAGACAGGGGAATTTTCTGGAAGAACAGTCTCCCTTCCTAAAAAGGATCCAGGTATGTAGGCTGGGCGGATGGGGGTAGCAATTAGACCCTGGATTCTGGAGGTACAACTGCATCCCCCTTCTGGCTTAGGAGCCAGTCACTGGGGTAGCTTGTGGCTGTGCTGTTTCCTACGGACCTGCCTGGCACACGTCATAATCAGGAAGAGAACCGCGTCCCAGGGAGGCCCCCTTTTTTTTCGCCTCTCCTAAATCCAGGTAGCAATCAAAACCTCAAATCCTGCTCCACCCCCAGCCCATACTATAGAGTTCTGACTGACCAGGAAACCACTCACTGGCCCAGTAATGAGTTATAGTGGGGGTGATGGCAGCTAGAACAGGTGCCCAGCTTTTGTTGGAATCCCCATCAGGGGAGGGGCAGAGGGAGAAGTCATTTCTGAGCCCCATGCCAGGTGAGTCCACTGTTGCCTGAACACGCTCTTTATCCACTGCTGGACAAGAAATGTGTTCCCTACATCTGCAGGCAGAACCACGCCACCAAGTAGCTACTCCCTACTAGTGAAACGAACAATAATAAAATCCCACTTATGGGGTTGGCTCCATGCTAAGCCGTTGGCTGGATCCTCTCAGAACTAGGGCTGGATCCATGCTTAGGACACTTAACCTCAGTGCTTGCCACTGCCCGGTCATCTCTGGCCTGGGATCGTGGCTGAACAGAAGAGTCGGCTCTCTACGACCCGGGTCCTGAACCCGTGTCTACTGAAGCAGGTTCCTCCTGGGAGAAGTCCTAAGATTGGGGGTTCGAGTTTGTGAGAAGCCCCCTGTGTGGGCTCCATTTGGCTCCGGTGGAGAATTGCGGGTTTCCCTGCCCACATCCATCTGCGTCCATGGCGTACCCGCTCTCCCATGGTCCTCCAACCCCAATCGACCGTCTTCCCTCCTGCGTGGCTGCCTGTGTTCCTCCCAGTCTTCAGCTGACCCTCCTCTGCCCGGGCTGCTCCGCTTGCTCTCTTTCCAGTGGTTACTGTTCCAGCCAAGTAACAAAACCCTGGAAAGCAGCGACCATCATTTTTCTTGCCTCTCCCGGGTCTCCATGGTCTGGGCTCCATCGGACTGTGTCCATCCCCCAATCCCTGTCCCTCTCCCTTACTCTCTTTTTCCCTCTCCAGCCCACAGTGGGAGCATATTTGTCAGTTACTTTCAGAGACGCCCACTGAACAAATCCTCAGTGCACGTTCCCTAAGACGCCGGTGCTGGCCATGGGCAGCAGCACCCCCAGCCACTGGCTTTGGCCTTGTTTAGACCTGCTGACTTCTGACCTAGGAGCAGCCTGGGTCTTAGGCACACTCTGCTCTGCTGCTTTGAATTTCATTGCTTTGGTTGCAAAACCCACAACCCAAGGCTCCTGTGCCCAGCTAGCTGGCCTCTCTCTCAGGGTGTCCAGTGTCTGTCTCTAGGGCTCTTGGTCATGTTGACTTCATTTCCCGTAGGGTCTTCTGGAGGGCCTAGGATGGCCATGTTTTCCTTGCCAACCACACCCACAGAAAGCTAGGAGCATCTTTAAAGATGCTTTCCCCATAATTAACTGATAAGAAATGCTTTTTCCATATTATCCCCCTTCCTTACCTATTAAGAAAAAGGGCAAGAGGAAAAACAAAGAACTCACTGCTGGCAGCCCCTGAACTCGGGAGGCACTAGTGGGCAGCACTGGAACCTTCTTTTCTTTTCATGCAATTCCTTTTCCTTGATGTTAATGCAAGTTGTGCCTCCCTAAAAGTAATAAAAGGAAATGAAGACACATTCTGAAATGAAACTTGACTCTAATCCATTCATCATCTAATACTCGCCTCTTTATCTTCGCTGGTACCTAATCTGGTTAAATGTCCCTGTTGTAGGATTTTAGTGAAAATCCTCTATGGGGAATAGGGTTTTTTGCAATTGGATTACTTTCAGTAAATGGCCCAGTAGTTCGTGTGTTTCAGCTTAATTTTTTCTTTGTGATCTCCCCGGGCTAAGTTACAGCATGGCACTCGAGGTTGGGGGGATAGGCTGAGAGTGGGGTTGGGGGGGACAACGAGGAGAATCGTATGGAAAGACCCGCTCATGGCAACCAGAAAAATTCTTTTAAAATGCCTTTTTTTCCCAGTTTCTCTCCATCTCTCCAGCTTTTTCAGACATGAAAATGCCAGTACTTTGTTTTCTAGAACTGCCCGTTTCTAAAATGCATACCTTTTATTAGCCCAATTCATCATCATCGAGTTAATTTATTAGCATTCCCCGATGACTTCCTAATGAAATTTCTAATGAATCAGGCCCACTGTAATCTACATAAAATATGCAGGCGCTTGCCTAGAAGCTTAGAGCTTTCTGGTAAAGTCCATGCTCCCAACCAGACCTTGAGTGGGGCTTTTCACCCTTGCTGTCTGCAAAGGATTACAGAGGGCCCGCTGGTTTTAAGGGGCAGGGAGGGCTCAGAGCCAGGGTGGTAGTGGGAGGTGGGCCCTGCCACGATTCCTGTAACCGTAGATTTTCCTAGCCTGACCCCTTTGAAGCTCTCCTGCCTGCCTCCTGGAGGTTGCTGGAGTGGGCTCCTGGTGTAGGAGAGCCCCCCTACAAACAAGCACGCAGTAGGCCTAGGAGATGAAACCACTGTTTCCACTTTACCTGCCAATGGGACAGGTGCAAGTGCTTGGGCTTCATAAATGGGGGGCGAGGGTAGAGAAAGATCTTTAAAAGCCAGGCTCATGGGGAGGCCAGAGCTGCCAGGGACTTACCCCAGGGCTGTCTGTTGACTTTGATGCATGAATAGGGACTGGGCTGCTGGGAGTGAGAACCTCTTAGGAAATCAAGGTGGGAGCTGGAGGGTTGGGGGACCCGAGTCCTGTGGTCTGTAGGCCTGGCAGCTGGAACCGACTCAGTGGAGTCTTTTCTCTGTTCTTGTCCTCCCCACAGTCGAACAAAGTACCGGTGGTGCAGCACCCTCACCATGTCCACCCGCTCACGCCTCTTATCACGTACAGCAACGAACACTTCACCCCGGGAAACCCACCCCCACACTTACCGGCTGACGTAGACCCCAAAACAGGTAGGCCTTGTACTTGGCTGCCGAGGGAGAGGGCTGGTCCTGGGGCTGCCGGTCCACATGCGGGGGAGGGGCGGGGGCTTTGGGGGTGGTGGGTAGCAGTGGAGGAGCTTCTGTTCCTCTCCTGGGTGTTGGAAGGGAAGCTGGAGGGGTAGGGGGCAGAGCCTGGAATGGAAGTGGGTTTCTCCTCCCCTAGGACTCAAAATTTGCAGAGTGTCCCCGGAGGGGCTGTCAGCAAGCTAACTGAGAGCCATTCAGTGGCCTCTAAGTCTCAGAGCCTCAGACCTACTTGGGGACATCTCCTTGGCTCCTTCTTACCTCCTTGGGAATATAAATGAGAGAGCTGTGTTTCCCTTAGGAACCCTGCCACTCGGCCAGAAATTGTGGCATAGACACAGGAGGCCTCATGTCCGGGCTCCCGTTCTCTTTGCTGATTTACTTAGCTTCTTCCTCCCCTGCCATATGCTGGGGATTATCAGACCCATTTTACAGATGGGAAAACCGAAGCCCAGGAATATTTCTTCTTGGCATCACCGAACAACCGACAAGGTATCAGGCAGAAAGCGACCTTCAGCCTTTACACTGGGTGCTTGTTGGAGGAGCAGCCAGGAGGCTTCATCCAGGCTGGGCAGACCCAGGCTAGGGCACTCGACCTAGCTGGTCGTCAGAAGGATTGGAATGGCCAGTCTACATCACTTTGTCCGAGAACCTGCTAGGTGCTGGGCCAAGGCGGACTGCCTTCGTGGCCCTAGTGAAGCCATACATTAGCTGGTTTTCCCCAGCCTCTGAGCCCCTCTGTTCTCAAGGGGGGACCTGGAATGGCTGGAGGAGACCGCCAGCTGGCCCCGGGCTCCTGGAGTGAATGGCAGCATCTACGTCTCATTTAAATAATGGCAGTACAGGGAATAGCTTTTAAATGGTTATCGTAAAACATATGATTAACGTCTGCGGACTGTTTACTTTTCCTCTGCGAACATTCTTTCAAGTGTGCGAATGGCTGGGTGTAAGGCCCAAGCCCAGCTAATCGGTATGGTTTTTGTAATAGAGAAAAAGCCACGACTGCATGAAAATGTCACCCGGGGAGACTTAATTTACAGATTAAAAGCTTCCTGAGTGAAATGGAAAAAAAATTAAAAGATAGTTTTCACCCGTGAACGTGCAACTCATTCCCTTCCAGGCTGTGTTAGTCCTGTGGGGCTGCTCGCGGGGCCTCCTTCAGCGGCATGCTTAGCCTCTGGCCCCAGTTGCTCCCCTCACCCTTGCCTTCTAAGAACTGCTCATGGGGTGTGCTGCCAGGGGTCAATACGCTGTGGTGGCCAGACCTGCAGGATTCACTCATGTGGGCCTTATGGAGGGCCTTGGTCCCCAAGATACAGCAGTACATGTGGGGGAGTTAATCCACACAGGTGACTCTTAGGATTGGGGGCTCTAGGCCCCCAGCACTCCCCATATGTTCAGTTCTTTCTGATCTGCCTTGGAGAAGATGCCATGGTGTTTGGTGAGTTTCTCCTACAGCTTATCTCCTAAGTTGAGGTGGAAACTTTCTAGAGTTAAAATTTCTGGAGGGAAGAAAGGATCACCTTTCCAAAAGCTATAACTAGAAAGAGTGTTGGTGACCAGTAGAGTGAGTCTCCTGCAGGCAAGACACAGTCAAGTGTGGAAGTGCGAGTTGCACGGGCAAAGGGCACGAATATGTTTCATCACCTACTGTGTGCCAAGCCCTTTAGAATTCACCAAATATCTGAGACAGGAAAAACCCAAGATGCCATTTTTAGAGCCTGTCTGAATCTGCCCACCATACTCATCCACCTAGAACGAGATAAGGCAGGTGTTCAAACCAGGGCGGAAGGAGAAGGCGAGGAAGCTCACCGACTTGGCAGGTTTCAGAAGAGATGCCCCGCCATCCTGCCCACCCCACCTCTGCCACTTTCTCTTTCCTTCATCCCTGAAATGCTGTTTCTTCTCCCAGGAATCCCACGGCCTCCGCACCCTCCAGACATCTCTCCGTATTACCCACTTTCGCCCGGCACCGTAGGACAAATCCCCCATCCGCTAGGATGGTTAGTACCACAGTAAGGAGTTCCATTTTTTAATTTCCTTTTTGTTTTGTACACGGGCATGCTCATTATTTATTCTGTGTATGTGTGGGTGTGCTGGAAAGACAGGGCTGGGGGTGGTGGGTGGGGAGGAAGTTTGCTGAAATGCCCCATGGAAGAGCAGGCAAATCAGTAGCCTTTCAGAGGGATTATGCAGGGCTAAGGTTGTTGCTACTTAGCATCCTGAACCTGTGGTCCCCAAAGGCTCCACGTGGCCCTCTGTGAACAAAGGTCCTCTACAATTATGAGATAACCAAGAGGGAAAAAGCACCACAGTGGCAGGCTGTGGGCGACTCAGTGGCAGGGACCCTCTGGTGGTGATGCCTGATGGAGGGGATCCTTACGCTATCCCAATTGAAAGAATAATAATTAAAAAAAAAAAACCTTTGGGAATTGCAGAAGGTCCTGAGAGCCTCTCTGTGCAGTGATGCCCATCGTGGCTTTTCTGCTGGTGACCACCCCAGCCAGGGTCCCTTTAGACTGAGGCAACAGAGGAGCAGGAACAGGCTGAGCCTGAAATCCAGGGGTCTCCGGGCCCCTCACACCCAGCCAACACTCCAAGGCTGACCATGACAGCAGAAGGTGTGTCCGGGGGAGGCTCCATGTTATTCACCAGCATCTCTAAGAACTTTTGCATGTTGAGAGCTTCGCCTAAATTATGGGGAGAGGCTGGGGTGGCTGGATAAGAACCCTGACGCTAGTAGGTGGGGTCTTCCTGAGGCTCATCCCTAGTTCCTGGCAGGTCCCAGATCTCAAAACCACCTTCCATAGTTTGCCCTCTCATCACTGGGTTTTACTTTCCAGCAGCACTCAGGAACTGCCCTCAGATAGCCAAATATGTGGGCTTTAGCATTAGCATAGAAAGACCCTTAAAATGAGAGAGTATGTGTATGTGTGTGTGCATGTGCATGTAATATGTGTTTTGCAATTGTGTGTTTCTGTGTCTCTATTTCTCCATGTTTATGAGTGCTCTCTACTCTTTAAAAACACAGAACAATTTGTTAAATCTTAACAGGAATAGGTAGCGGTAACACTCAAGTTTGGGCGTTAGGGAAGACACCCTTTCATAGCTTCAAAAGAAGATGCAACTTTGGAGTGATTCCCCACCCCTCCCCCACTCCGAGTTCTACCTTTATTTCTCTAGTTGAACAAATTCTACCCTTTTTCTGAAAAAACAGGTTGTATTGCATAATAGTTATGTAAATCCCCCACCCCCACCCCCACATACACACCCCGGTGTATTTTCTTCCTCCATTCTGTTTGGGAGGATGGACATGAGCTGTGTCCCATTGCTTCTTCGGTACATGGGCCATCCAGCTGATGGGGAGCTATCTGAAGGCTAGATAAAAAGGAATAGCCAACTCAGACAGCCCTCTGTCAGAAAAAGTTGTGTGTCTTTCATGAAGATGCTATTTTGCATGTTGCTGTATTTTTTAATTATTGTAATGAGGTGTGATTGTCTATTGGTTACCCACAATTCTTCTTGGGGACTCTCCCCCCCGGTAACTCTTGTCAACACTTGTTAATTTGACAAAAGGCTACAAATTAAGCTCTGTTAATTTAATGTTTTCTCACCGAGATCTAAATACCGAAAGAGGCCCAAAGCGCAACTGAAGTCCTTTGATTCACTGTACTTTATTTTGGTATAAATTTACATTCATTATTGTTTTCCTTTGGATGTGTAGCCCTCAATTAGTGTGATGGCTCCATTAAAGCAAGCGAGACTTCGCCTTTAATTATTACAACAAAACACCTAGTTTCAGCTTGGGGAGAGGGTCTCTATTGACATAAGCAGAGGTTATAAAATTTAATTAGCCATTCCTATCAGATTTATGGCATTCAAATTGTTCTGTGTTTCTTCCCTTTGATCCTTCCTGTACAATCCCCAAGATTTTTGTTCTGATCAAATGAGAATAAAGCTTACTGTGCAGAGAGAACTTTTCCTTTTTCTTCTTTTTCTTTTCCCCACCCCCACCCTCATTGGCAGCTCTCTCACTTTGTACCCCCTCTTGTAGGCAAGGTCAGCCAGTGTACCCAATCACCACAGGAGGATTCCGCCACCCCTACCCCACAGCTCTGACTGTCAACGCGTCCATGTCCAGGTGAGTTCCAGGAACGGGGCCCTGCTGCCCAGCCCCTGGGTGACCTCCCAGAAAGTGCTCTAGGTTGTCATTAGACCTTGCAGGGGCTGCTGCTTCATGCAGTTCTGAGGTGTAAGATGGACACAGCATTAAGCTTTATTCCTAGAAAATACTGAAAAATTGCCCCAGATCTCCAAAGTAGATGCCATCAAACTTTCAAGGTCAAATTTTGGAGTCAATCGATTGAGCGATAATTTTTAAGAATTGAAGAAGGCAGAAAGGGACAGTTAGGATATGCAGAAGCTTTTTAATGTGTCCATTCTCGTGCCTTATATTGGGCAAGAAAGGGAAGGCTGGAAGTCATTTTAGTATTATACAAAGATGAGTTTAGAAAAGCTTACTGGTCTTTTCAGAGCTCAGACTTTAGTGTCAGCACTGTCCAATAGAACTGTGAGGTGCACCACATGGAATTTTAAGGTTTTTTTTTTTTTTTTTTTTTTTTTTTTTTTTTTTGCTAGCAACATTTTTTAAAGATTAAAACAAAAATCCAGAGGAATGATTTTTAGTGATACTTTATTCAGCCCAGTATGGTTAGAATGTTATTCTGACACGTGGCCACTGTGCAGCACCTATTAATGAGGCTTTCCTTTCTGTTTTGTACTTAGTTTCTGAAATCTGATGTGTATTTTACACTCATAGCACATCTCAACTTGCTGGCCACCGTTCAAGTGCTCGTAGCTGCCTGTGGCTGGTCACTGCCACACTGGCCTTCATAGTGTGAATACTTGAAGGTTTCACAAAAGTTCTGTGTTTATGATTATGGTATCTTTACACATATAAATACATATAATACACCCACGTACATGTGCCCAGATCTCGCTAATCCCCATGTTATCCTTTTCCTCCCTCTAATTAATTCTGGCTAATTTTTCAGTGACTGTTAGTTTATTTACAAACTGGTTGGCAGCAGCATATTTAAGTAGTCACTAATTGCTCCTAATGATAGTTTTATTTTCTGTTCATCTGATTTTCGGGCAAGTTAATTAAATCGGTGGAGGTTTAGACTTTCCTGATGGACTGCAACAACTAATCCATTTTGATGATGGCACATAATTAAATTAGTATGCATTACATGGCAAGGATGCTGCCCCCCAGTCTCTTCCCCCAATCTTTGTAACCAACTAGGGACCTAAGACCAGAGAGAGGTTAGAAAGATAGACCAAGAGGCCTGTTGTCCTGTGCACCAAAGAATGATTTGGAATCACTGCATTAAGATAATCACATATGTTAAGAAAAATAAACTCTAATTATGCCATGGATGTTATGCCGTTTTAGGGGTTTCCGATATGTGATAGATCATCTCAATTGCAAAACCTCTCCAGTATTTGTGAGGCGGGAAAATGCTGTGGTCTCATTCTTAGGCAGAAGATGAAGGTTATGTTCATTAAATAACGCCATCACAACCTTGCAAAAGCCTGGAAACGAATAGGGAGTCTCCCAGGAGGAGAACTGCTTCTGAGAAGCTTATAACCCACACCTCATCCTCCCTCCAAACCAGAGTTTCTGTGATACACCTGATTGTTTTTCGTGTTTATTTGGAGTATTCCAGAGGTTAAAAGCGGTGAAGCAGTCGAGGACAGGGATTGGGGTTAAGCTTATCGATTGAATGATCATTAGGAGGTTAGTCGATGATTTATAGGCGGGCAGGGGGAGGAGGGAAGGCAGGGGGAACCGTGGGAGGAAAGGTTAGGAGCTCGAGGTGCAGGGGGGAGGCGGCCGATTCCCCAGGTAGGCCTTATGAAAGGTAGCTTAGTTAAAAAGCACATACAGCAAATTAAATACATTATTGTGGTAATGGGGCGACAGAAGTATAGGTCTATTATACTTATGGCAGTTATAGGGAATGTAGACAGCTTGCCCTGTTCCAGAACACCCTTTGATATTCATTCTATTCAGCAGCAAGGCCAGGACTTCTCAGAATTAAGTGATGGGTCATTATACTTTAAACACCATGGAGAAGCCTAGATTGGCAATTAAACAGCTCTTGCTGACACTCACTTGTGCCACCCTGTGACCCCCTTTAGATTGAGATGTTGGAGCTCCGGGCCCTCAGCCTGCTAAATTGGCGCAAGGCTCTTCTCCTGACGAGAGTGGGCTCTGAAATCTGCCGGCTTCAAAGGGAGCGAGATCATGTATAAACCATAATGTGGGTGCACCGTGGCTCACAAAAAATAAGGCAGGAAGAGATGAAATGTTACAAGTGCAAGGGGGAAAATGAGAGAATAATGACAAACCTAATGCAACTCAAAGCAGGATTGTTGCAGAGGAAAATGCATCCTACTGCTTGTGCATAAAATCAAGGCCGGCAGATGACATCCAGTTAACAGAAACGTGTCAACAGTGAAGTAAAGTGAGAGTGAGTAAGAGAGAAGCCCCTGAGACAGCCAGAAACAAAAATTAGTTGTCCTTAACAAGTTAAGGTTCATCATTATATTCTGGCTTGGAGCCATAAAAGCAGACGGGGGTATATAATGAGCTGCTTAGAATTTTTAGGGTGTTTATTGCATTGCATGAAATAGTTGTCTGCGACAAGGAATTTCTTAAGTGAAGGTATGCACACTGCCCCCTGCCCCCCCCCCCACACACATGCACACACTCTCACTTCGGGTGTATGAGCACGTTTGTAGGTATCTGCACGTGCACATATTCTTCATGCCTGCACCCATAAATTTTCCCCACCCCTAACTGTACACAAATTGGGGTACCTCCCTGTACTGCTTGGTGTGTGCACGTGAGCATGTGCACACACTATTTTTAAATCTCTTTCCCTCTTTTCCTCTCCCTTCCTCTCTGTCTCTCCCCCTCTCTCGTATGACTGTACACATATTCTCATTCAACAGGAAGGGAACATATGTATTTGAAGAATGTCGAGCCTTTAAAATTCACAGTAAAAGCTGCCACTCCACCCACCACTTCACCCAGGGGCTTCCAAGAACACATGTTCTTAACTCATGTTTCCACCAAGGCCTTGGAGCAGTGGGAGGGAGTCTGGTGTGACTAGGAGCCCAGGTGCTACCCAAGGGCTTGATTTTCCTGTCTTCAGGGGGACTGGGTGTGTGTGTACGCATACGCTTTCTCATAGAATTTTGCTTTTCTTCCTTTTTTTTGGGGGGGGGGGAGGGCAACCTGAAAGTGTGTTAATGATTCTTACTTAAAAAAATTATGTCCTTGTCACCAAACTTTGATTTGTAAAGGCTGTGGCAGCTGGGGTCACATTGGGATGGAGTTTCCAAGTCAAGTGTCTGCTGTGATTCTGCATTTCTTAGTGCTTTTCTCTGTTGAGCTGTACATATTCTATTATACTTGACCGTCCATCCACTTCTCAAATTAATATTTGCTCTGTTATTTTGTGGAATAAATGGAAATTACTCAACCCTCTGATTGGCCTTGTGAAGAAAAGCAGTGTCCTCTTGATAAGCCCTCATTAGCACCCCCAGTTCCCACCAGAACTGGCTTCCTGAAGAGCAGGTCAGCATTCCTGGGAGGGGGTGTGGTAGGGCTGTTGTGGTTTGGATTGAATACGAAGGCAGCAACCGCCAGGCCTGCTTTTCCCTTCACTCAGGTGAGCAGCATCCCATTGGCTCATCTGTATGACTTGTTGGAAGGAGCCAGGAGGCTGCCATCTTGTCTTCTGTGGGGGCTCTACCCTTTCAGCCTCATCCTGCCTCCCTCTGAAGTAGTGTGTCTTCTTAAGGAGAGGTGGCTCTCCTAATCCCGTGCCAATCACGATGACTCCAAGTATACCAGAAAATGAAAACTGTTCTTGGGATCCATTGTCAGTTTGCCTATGAGACAATGAGCATTTTGAAATTAGTGCTTTATGATCTGGCTGATTTGTGTGGTTGGGAAATGCTCGTCCAAGATTTCCAGGGAGCTTTAAAGAATTTTTCTAAAAATTTTCTAGGAGAGAAAACACCGCCTTTGTTTACCATTCTGACATTCGTTTAGAAGGATTTTCAACAAATAGACAACATACTAAGTAAAAGTCACTTAGGAATCCTAGAACTTTAGAATGGGGAAAGCATGTAAATTGGAATTCAAAGCTTCATGTGTGTCTGTGTGTGTATAAAATACAGGCTCCTACCCGGCCTCTTTCTATAAGGAAGATACAAACTCATTTAAAAGGTCCATGACTTATGATGTGAACCAGATAGGAAATGTTTGGATTGCCTCCATCGGTCCACCTTACTCTCTCCCATTCCTGTCAAAACAATGGGGCACAGCAGCAAAAGGAAAATAAAAATTTTATGCACTCCATCAACAGAATGAGGCCTAATGAGGCCTGCACAGCATTGTAAAAAATGTGTGTATACTTCAACTGCATTAATATTTTATTTAGCTGTCAATATGCAACAAAAGATTTCACCTTTCAGTCTAGAGCTGATTAGGACTTAGGAAATTGTCTTCTTAGATGTCACTAATAATACCTCCAAAAACAAGGGAACGTGTGATTTCCAGCAGGTAGTCCAAGACTAGTTTTCTGCCCAAGTACATCCATTGAATTTGTCTTTTGCTAAAGATGTTAAAAATCATAATGTGTCATGTCAGTAGCAATCATGAAGGGGGAGACTGCCTTTAATGACATTATGAGAATGATTATGTTTAATTTATTGCTAATTAATGCTGACAGGTTTCATATGCCTTGAGTTGCTTTCATGTGAGTGTGATGCGCTGTTTTGTTTTTTTTTTTAATTGTGTGTACACATCCCTCCCCATTCATTCATTTTGATTCTGACGATTTACACAGCTTCCTGTCTTCCAGGTTTCCCCCTCACATGGTCCCACCACATCACACTCTCCACACGACCGGCATCCCTCACCCGGCCATCGTCACGCCGACCGTGAAGCAGGAATCCTCCCAGAGTGATGTGAGCTCCCTCCATAGCTCGTGAGTGTCACTCTTTGGGGGCTCTCTCCTTGGCCCTCAAACCTGGGGGTGACCTGCCGTGTTTGACTGGAACCCCCTCACCAGCGGGGGCTCTGGACCCTTGCAGAGAAGCAGACAGTGCACAGGGTGGAGTGAGTTCCGTGGAGGTGCCGGGGCGGGCGCTGGGAGTACATGCCAGGCTCTTTCTGTGTGTGCACAGCAGTCCTCCCTTCTTGGTGGTTTCTGCTCCCCACCATCAACCATGGTCTGAAAAGATCCCAAATGAGAAGGTTCTCGGAGCGCGATAGAGACCACACTCACAGAGCTGTTTCTGGTCTCTTGTTACAGTCGTTCTGTTTTATTAGCGGTTGTTAATCTCTTACTGTACCTGATTTATAGACTCAGCTTTCTCTCGGGTAGGGATGTAGAGGAAAATGCATAGTAGGAGTAGGGTGGGGTGTCGCCTGCGGGTCCAGACCTCTTCTGGGGTCTTGGGATGTATTTCCCGTGGGTCAGAGGGGAAACTGTACTTGGGTGGGGATTTGCAACCAAGGGGATTTGACCCTGGGCCTCTGCTTGAACATTTGGGACTCTGTTATGGGGCCATGAGAGATGTCCACTGAGATGGAAGTGGCCAGGCGTGCTTGCCCCGTGGCTTGGGAAAGCCATGCATTTGCACACTGGAGGAAGTGATGAAAGAACCTCTCTTCTCCCCTCCATACACCCCTTCCCAGGCCACTTTTGTTCCGGCATCAGGGTGGAGAAGACTGGAAGTAGAAGCAGGCTTTGTGTGCAGAAATGCTGGGTTTGGGAGTTCAGGCAGCAGGGACAAGGGCTCTGGAGGAAGTTGGGTCTTGTGATGGTTTATTGGGTCATGTCTGTTGGTTTTGTCTATACCCAGAAAACATCAGGACTCCAAAAAGGAAGAAGAGAAGAAGAAACCCCACATAAAGAAACCTCTTAACGCATTCATGTTGTATATGAAGGAAATGAGAGCGAAGGTCGTAGCCGAGTGCACGTTGAAAGAAAGCGCGGCCATCAACCAGATCCTCGGGAGAAGGGTAGGTGACCCCTCCTTGCAGAAGAGGGGAGAACGGGCCTGCACACAGTGGGAGGGCTGGCCCAGGGTCCCCAGTGCATGGGGAGGCCTTTCCCTTCGACCACATTCTGGCTGCTTTGGGGGCCTTGGTAGAGTCAGGCCCAGTGATTACCTCTTTGGAGGAGTTTCGGGACAGCCTCGGTCAAGAGGGACACATGACCTTTCAGTCTTGGGTGACTCCTGCTCGTGCCAGCACCCCGCAGAGCCCTGCAGATGACACCATTCCTAATGGACTCACCCGAAAAAGCGACAGTGTCCACACCCAGCTACGGTGTGGCTTGTGACACTTTTGCATGCCTCTCCCCCATGTCCCCCCAGTGGCATGCGCTGTCCAGAGAAGAACAAGCAAAATACTACGAGCTGGCCCGGAAGGAGCGACAGCTTCACATGCAGCTGTACCCCGGCTGGTCCGCCCGGGATAACTATGTAAGTGGATAGCTTTGCTCCTTGGGTGTCCCTATGGATAGAAGGAAATTGAACTGCCGGCTTGAAGCAGGCCTCAAAGCCATTCAGTCCCCCCCACTTTGGGGACCTATAGCATCTTGCCCAAACTGCAGAGGGTCTTTTCTAGGCCTCCAGTACGAGTCCATCAGCATGTGCTAGATCTTCAGGGAGGAGACTGGTGTCCTGGCTTGGGCCCTTTGGGGTCATTGGATCTGTCTACACCTTCATGCCACGTTTCCATCCAGGGCAGCCAACATATCCTGGCCTGTGTTCCTCATCCTTCTCAGCAGGGATGTGTGGGTGGCCTTTCAAGGGAATACCAGTCTGTAGGGGTAGACACAGAGTTTACTGCCTCACTGTGCCTCCAGCCGGGCTTTTACCCTTAGGAGTGAGAAACAAAACAATCATTCAATGCTGTGGTGCAAGAGAAGTTGGAAGCCAGGTTCATCCTGAGAGTTGCATGATGGGAATATCCCGGAGAGTGGCAGTCTTCCTTTGGCTGCCCGGGTGGAATGACTCAGACCCAGTGAGGTCCCAGGGGGCTGTGTGTTGTGATGTGTGTGTTCCTGGACTCTGCTGGCTCTAGGACTTTTGTTTTCATTGTCACAGCGGTTGTGGCTGCCCTGATGGCTCTTTTCTGCAGCCCATCTCTCTCTCTGTAACCATTCCTTATTATTCTGCTCAGGTTCCAGATGGAAGAAATGTCTCTTGCTTGGCCTAGTACTTCACATGTGCCGATCGGTTTTATGCAGTGATTTTACCACCCACTCTTGGGTGGAAAAGCAAAACTTGTCTCGGTGCCACTAACAGGCCTCTCTTCCCACCTCCTGTCGGTGGCCAGGGGTCATGAGGGTCTCCTCCGTGATCAGTGCATCCTGACCTCACTCTCCCACGAATGTCATTGTGGTGGAGAAGCTCTTCGTGAATGTGGGTTGAGATCCAATCAGTCACTGCTGCCCGCGCACTTAGTGTGTACGTGGGATTGGGAGTTAAATCAGACACAGTTACTCTCTCTGAACTTAGCAGCCGCCAGGGAATCAAAAACGTCATATGGGTACATGGGTCCTGAGCTCAGGCTGTTTCCTTCTTGCTCTGCGTAATTGTTGCACATTTTCCCTCCTTTTATTCTTATACCTTTCAACACGGGCAGGCGAGCTTCCTCTTGCCATGTGGCTGGGGGAGAATGTTGAACAGGCTGCTGGTTCCATTCCCATGGCTTCATCACTGCCCTCACCCTCTGCCTCTGGGTCCCACTGCCCTGCGCTGGCAGCGCTACACTCTTCCTCCTGGGAGTTGAAACAGGAATTAGCGCCAGTGCCTGTCAGGGGCACGTTTGCTCAGCTCAGGGCCCTGTCACTCACAGATGGGCACACACGGGGTCTTAACTGCTTGGGACCTTTCCATTTGTCCTCAGCATGTGTGCCGTGGGGAAGCCTTTCTTCTGGAGCTGAAAGGAAAAGGATGAGAAAGTGAACGCTCTCCCACAGGCTCGCTGCTCACCCCCCCACCCGCCCCCTGACCTCGAGGTGGGGCTTTCCAGCAGCAGCGGGCTCTGCAGCCTCTGCGCGCGAAGCCACCTCATTTCTGAAAAGCTGGTCTCCTGGTGTTGGGTCAGAAGTGCTTAGAGTTCATCTCCGGCTTTCCCTGCTAGAGACCCACTTCTTTGAGCAACCTAGAGTGGTACCACCGAGAGGAATCCAGCTGCCCTGTAGATACCATCTCCCCTGTAGACACTGTGAGTCATAATAGGACCTGCATGTCCAGCTATGCAGGGTGTGCACTGCTCAACTCTGGGATGTGTCGGTGACTCTGGGGTCTGTGGGCCTGGGCCCCCTGGACTTGTGCAGGGGAAACCTCCACAAGGGTACAGGCTGGCTTTGTGATTGCTTTGTGATGGGCTGCGGTTTGCTTGCTGGGAGGTCAGTCAGGCAGTGTTGGCCGAGGCCGATTATGAAGCGATTCCTAGGTTTCAGAGGGCCCAGGAGGCGCTTGAAATGACATCATCTCGGTTTTACATTTGGAAGAGATTTGTTATCATAGGGGACTCTGATAAGACTTGAAGGAATGTTTGGATGTGAAGCTGGATTTGGGGATGGGGCAGGGGTAGAGGATGTTTCTCTCTTGTAAGGACACTTTGCGATTCCTATCATTGTGGCTCATTACACATGGGTATGAAAAGACACACTCTCTCTCTCTCTCTTTCTCTCTTCCCCTAGTCCCTTCTCCACTTGCCCCTTTTCCGCTCTCCCCCTTCTAGATTAAGTAAAAGATAAATCATCATCAGCCATTCTCTCATCTGAGTTCCCCCCTCACTGTCGTGTATTTGGCCTTTTCTTTATTGGTCACTTCTAAAGAGATAATGGAACGACCACCTCCCTTGATGTGTCTCTCTCTTCACTCAGTAGTTTTTATTAAGTTTATTCCTGTCCTCTTCCAGTTAAAATACAGCCTGTCCTCTGGAAGCCTTCAGTCTAAACGGTAATTCCTTAGGCACGAACATCTCAATCAGAAAGTCCAGAACCGGCAGCTGCCCACAAGTGGCAGGATTTTCAACTGCCTCTCCCAGTAGCGTGCAGGAGGTTGGAAGCCGGCGAGCCCCGTGTTGAAGGACGAGCAGCACTTGTGTGCGTGGCTGCCGACGTCATCTGAAGTTGAAGTGTTTCTATGCCCAGTTGTGTTTTCGCTTCAGGCTCCTAAATGCACTGCAATGAGACCCTCCTGCCCGTTGCAAGATGGCGGTTGGCTCCCAGCTCCTTGTGTGGGGACACTGGTGTGAGGAAAGGGGTGCTGAGGCTCAGGAGAGGCACATGAGCTCATCCTTCCTTTATCATTGTGTGTTAGGGAACAAAATGCTTCAAAGAGAAACACGGAACTGGAGGCCAAGATAAATTTCCCAATGGGTAGGGACCCCAAGATCTGAGAGAAAAGAGGTGTCTTCTGTGAATTGGTTGGCTCTCAGTGCTTGACTGGGACATCTGTGGCATCCCTGCCTGTGGGTCCCCAAGCTTTCTACTGGGTCGGGGGTGTGGAATGAGGCCACCACCTCCACGGGTTCTGCCCCAGCCACGTCCTGGCTGTCGCCACAGCATGAGCAGGCCCTTGAGCCAGCCCGGAGGGTCAGTTTCGGGAGAATGTGAAAGGCACGTGCAGGTGCAGTTAGTTCATTCATCACCCTCCTGCTCAGGGGACACGTCATCACCCCAAGCTCTGCATTCTCTGTGGTTTCAGGGAAGTCAGGTCATTTCTCTGTGCCTCAGTTTCATACCTGTGAAATTGGAGTGGTGATCATGTTGTGTGAGATTGTGTGAGGATGGGAGTGAAAATTCACAGCACACTTAGAATCACGCCTGGCACGTGGCTTGTGCTCCATGAATGTCAGCTCTTGTGCAGCATCTGCCATACTGCTGTGGAGCACAGAGAGAACGTGCCTTCCTTGGTGGATGTTCCCTCGTTTTAAAAAGAGGTCAGATGATTTCTGGTTCCATTGCCTGCCCCTCTCTTTTTAACCTCTTTCCCTCTTTTGAAAACAGGGTCCAGGCTGCAGGGAGAGATTCACTGAGGGGAAGGCAGCCAAGATGCCCTATGGCCCCTCTACCCCTCCCTGGAACTGCCTCATTTTTTATGCCTTTAGCACAGAGTTCGCCTCCTCCCTTTTATGGAGTCAGATGCTCTGGGTGTGAGGATCACATAGGTGCGAAGGACAGGAGGTCTTGTCTTGCACCCTCACCCCCCACCCCCATCCTGTCTCTCCAGCTGCAGCACAATCGAAGGCTGTTTGGACGGAGTGGGGGTTGGGGGGATTGAAAGGACTCCAGGAGCCTGTGGATGGAGACAGCAGCCAGCTCCTCCTCCCTCCTGCTTCCCAGGTGAGCCCAGAAGTCCTGCTCCCATCTGTGTCTTGAAATAATTCCCTGTTTCATCTGTTCACCTAGGGGAAGAAGAAGAAGAGGAAAAGGGACAAGCAGCCGGGAGAGACCAATGGTAAGTTAGAATAATGAGGATGGAGGAAGGAGCGGTGCTCTGAGGACCACTCTCTTATGTTAGGCTTCTATCTGGGGGAGGCAGGAGAAATTCAAGGCCAGGACATTGTGGGGGAACCCATCTTAGCCAGCCTTTTTGTTTATGCATTTTAATTAATTGCTTCATGACTGCCCTTTTAAAGCTAGTAACATTCATTGTTGCATGAAAAGCACATTGTAATTCTAGTGGAATGTGTTTTTAAATAACTGCAGAGCCTGTAAGTGGAGAGGGTAGGCATGCCTATGCCGGATTATACAGTCTGCTTATTTTGTATGTGTCTGAGTAGGGATGAGGAGGGGGCTAGGGGAGCAGGAGGGGTGTGTGTGAGTGTTTGATATTAACTGGGCTGTTCCTGAATGTTCTGATGCATGCCTTTACAGTGGTAAATTGCACCCAATTTAAATTAAGGAGGTTTGTCATTCTTTAGAAGAAATTAGAAATACTGCATAGGCAATCTCAGCGGTCCCTTGGAGAAAGCCAGGCTTTTACAAACAACAACAACATTTTGAAGGCTTTGTATAATTTGTTCTTTTTTTTCAGAACACAGCGAATGTTTCCTAAATCCTTGCCTTTCACTTCCTCCGATTACAGGTGCTAATGTCATTTTGAGTCATTAAAATAGTTGATAAACTGTTTTTTAATTTTTCTTGCCATTATAGTTCTATTAACATTAAACACGTATGACATTTGAACATTCTTTAAAATGACCATCTACACGGTTTCGTATGTCTCGGTAGATTTTTTTTTTTCAGTTGCTTTTGTTGTTTTTTTTTTTTTTTTAATTTAACTTCTGCTTTGTTTATTGATTTATTTTCCCCATAACAGTTGTTTAAGCAGTCATGACAGTGACTTAGAGTTGAACTAACTGTGCAAATTGAATATGCAGTATTTCTTTAAAAGAGACTGGTTACAAAACAAAAAAAAAGACCACCAAAATGGAAGGAATTCAGTAATAAACCTCCTTAATCTAATGGCATTTTTTTCATTGCTCCCACTAAGTTTTCTCACGCAAGCATGCATCCCGCAGTATGATTATTTTTTCCTTTGCTTTTTTTTATTTTAGTTTTTTTTCTTCCTTTTGCTTTTTCTGCTCATAATTTGCAAATCCACCCGCATTTTACTGGCATTTTACTGACTGTACCTGCTTAAATGCTGCTGTGAGCGTCTCACTAACTCTTAACAGCTCATTCACACAGCCTGTTTATCTTTATCTGTTCCTCTCTTGATATTAATGAAAATAGATAAAAAAAGACAAGATGAACATTCCAAAAGCTGCAATATCCCAGTCCCACCACCCTTTTCTTTCTTTATTTCTTTCTGTTTTGTTTCATTTTGTTCTGTTTTTATTTGTAGTTTTTTTTTTCTTTTTTAAACTGTTATACTCTGAGAAGAAAAAAGCATGTTACAAACTTAATTCCCTCCTTCGCTTTATTTTCTTCTTTTAAGAAAAACCAATTGAGAAAAAAAGAAAAAAAGGAATGCAGAACCAAAAGAGGAAAAATACGATTTCTAAAAGTTCATTCTTCAGTATCTAACTTCCTTTTATCAGCTCAAACTGAATCTGAGAGACAGTCCTTAAAGAAGGGATACTGCAGCTTTATTTGCATCAGCTAATTTCACCAGTTGATTAAGAATGTGATCTTTACCTTCTTTTTTTTTTAATTAAAGAAAGTTAAAAATCGAAAGTCAATATTTTGTAATTAGTAACCAGGTCATTGATTTATTCCCTTTTTTATTTTTATTTTTTTCTTATTTGTATCTTTCTCTTCCCCCTCCCTCTCTCCTCTCTCTTCTCTTCTCTCTCTCTCTCTCCCATGTCCTCCTCCTCTGCTCGCTTCTTTCTTGAACTCATTCAGACCTGAGCGCTCCTAAGAAATGCCGAGCGCGCTTTGGCCTTGATCAACAGAATAACTGGTGCGGCCCTTGCAGGTGTGTATAGATTCCCAGATTCGCTGTGCTGGTTTGCAGCTGGTCTATTCGGTCCTTCCCCCTTCTCTGGCCTGTTGCTTTGTAGCTCTGTGTGTGGATCTTAGAGGAGACTCAAGGGCGTGGGACACTGCCAAGTGTGATGGGCTCTGTGAGGGTGTGCTTGTTCTCCCTGCTGCTGCTAGCCAAAATGCCACTGTAAAACAGCATCATTTGTGCCTCCTCGGGTCAGCGACAGCAAACCCCAGCGCGCCCCCTCCCAGGGAACGTGCCCTGCCAGCCCCCTTCCTCATGACCGCCCAGGATGGGGCTCAGTGACATCCATCGTCATCCTGGCCTAGGTAGAAGCAAGTGACGTCACCTTCTTCCCTCCTCCCTTCTCTCTCTTTTTATTTATTTTTCCTTGTTGTTTTATGGTTTCTGGTTGTTGTTTTTATTTTATTTTATTTTTTTGTGTTTATCGTTTTATTTTATTTTTCTTTTGACTCATAGAAGTCATTTTCTTTCACGTCCTTGGTGAGGGAAGACAAGTAGAACCCAGGTGCTAGAGAAGACAAGTCAGCGGTAGCTGAGATTTCACAACCGACTAAGCACCACCCACCATTGCCTTGTATTTTTTTGTGTTTACCTTATGCTAACAGATGCAAATACTCCAAAGAAGTGTCGGGCACTGTTCGGGCTTGACCGACAGACTTTATGGTGCAAACCGTGCAGGTATATTACCACTTGGAGGCCTTTGGGAAAAATCAAAGCGTTCTGTCCTTCTGGTACCTTAGAGTGTCGATGTATTTCGACCTCGTTCCCATCTCCTTCCTTGCTGGCATCAATGACTAATGATCCTCAATCTTCAAAATTTCTTTGCTAATTTAATGCCGTGTCCACCCCCCCACCCCGCCCCCCACTTTCTCTTTCTGTCTTTCCCATCCCCAGCCCCTGCTCTTACAAATAGCACGTCCCTGGCGGTAGGACTGAGACCACAACTGTAACAGACCGGGACGGGCACTTAGCCTGTGGCTTTGAAAGCCAGCACCCAGGAACGGGCCCGCCCGGGGTGCGCACACTGAGCGTAGAGACCCACCGACTCCAAAGGTTTGGATGAGCTCGAACTTGCCAGTAGTAGCATCCCCTTGCACTTGGAGCCCAGACACTTTGGAGCAGTGCTCCGGGGCAGGCTTTTTTTGGTTTTGTTTCGTTTCGTTTCGTTTCGTTTTATGTTTAAAAACCTCATGTCTCTGTACAGAGGAGCTTGGGTAGCGGACATTGTTTTACAGTGCTGAAAAGAAGCGTGGCATTGAACGGCAGGCACCAGCTGAAGGGCCGCATGCAGCGAGTCCTGCAGCCACAGACCGCAGTGCTGCGGGCCTGCCAGAGGAAAACAGTTTATCCACTTAGAGAGCGAGAAAGAGCGCTGGTTCCCTAATCATCAGAGGAGCCCATATTAAATGCCCGTGTCCCACCCGCAGGTTCCCGTCCAGCCTGTAATTTCAGGGAAGGTGTAGGTACTTCCTTCTTGGTGGAGGGCTACCCACTCGTTCCTGTCTCGCTTCCTTTACTTTAATGACCACCTTTGGTTAAATTTGTTGTTTCTTTGTTCTGATACAAGCAGTCTTTGAATTTGGAATATTATGATGGTAGGTATCGCAACACCCTGACACGCCTCCCTGTTTGTAGTGCCTCCCTTGTCACGTGTCCCTCTCCGCCATGCCTCCGCCATGTGTTCCGTGTTTAGACGTTAGCTCAGATGTCCATCCCATCACGTGCATGCCCACGAGTCTCCTGTGTCTCTCCCCTCTCCCTGACGCCTTACGAGAGATCGAAGCAGTGCCTCGTATTGACCAGACCTTGAGGGGAGAGAGGCTCCAGAGCCTTTATGGAGAGGGAACTCTACCCGTGACCCACTGCCGCCCCAGTAGGGATTCAGGGCCTTGGGGGAACACCCAGCAGGAGAGAGGGTGAGATGGCCGTGTTTACGGAGGAGACAGGCGCGCCGTCTACACGGTCCCAGGTGGCCGATGAGCAGCAGGGGAGTCTCACAAGGAAGCTGCGGGAGAGTGTTAGGTTTTTTTTATTAGAGCTTGCCAGGAAGACGGGCTGTTTGCCCTTTCTCAGCTGTGCCCTTGTGTCAGAACGTCAGCTGTGCCGAGTCCCATCCGAGACCCCTGCCTTAGGAGAGGACCAGCCCATCCCGGGGCCACACCCAAGGGAGGTTTTGTCACCGTCTGCGGGAACATGTGGCTGGCGCACCCTGTGGAACGGTGCATGGCCTGGCTGCTTTATTTGATTTGTGAGGGGCAAGTGGTGGTTCATGAATCCCTCTTGTTTCAGGAAGCAGTTGCTACAAGTTAGACTTGGCCTTTTTTCCCTGACGGTCATGGACCCAGACAGACATCCCTTCTCAGCCAGAGCCCTCACTCGCTGAAAGCCCGGGTCTTCCTCAGACCAGACTTCTCATGACAGCACCCCCTCCCCAAAATCCCCAAATAATCAAACAAAACCCCAGCCCTTTGTAACTGCTTCATATTTCAGCGGCGTGGTTTTCAAATGTGCAGCTTTGGGGGGGCCCCTCTTGCCATTTTCCTGAGTGCTCCTAGGTTCCCCATCAGTCACCACTGGGACTTAGTACATTTTCCTTCTACCCATAAAGCTTTAAGCAGATGCACTTCTACCCTTTTTAAGGGTGTGATTCCAAAAGAGGGTCAGGAAGAACCCTTTGTCTCAGAATAAATCCATAAGAAGCTAAAAGTGAATTTTTAAGCGGCTAGCCGCTGGTGGAGACGGAGGGTAGCTGGGTGGGGAAGAACAGGAGCGGGGGTTTTGTCCCGTTTTCCTTCAGCTTTTCCTCTTAACTTTGCCAGGATCTGGCTTGATGCTAAATCAATAGGACAAAATAGATTTAAAAGAAAAAAAAAAGCAGTCGCAAAACGAGGCATTTCCTGGCCTGTCGGAAAAGCGCGCATGTGCTCTGGCTGCCTTTGGCTCAGCCACTGGTCCGAAAGGAGCGCGGCGCTGTCATCCCCAGCCAGCATGTCCCGTGTCACCCTGCCCCACTTGCGCCCCATGATGTGGTCCCGAGCCGGGGGCGGGGGGAGAGGAGAGAACACCAGACCTGCACCTAGCTGATCAGGCCTCCTCGCTTGCTGCTCAGGGTTTCTAATTTTATTTGACATTTGAGGACATTTTAACAAGATTCTGTTTTGAGCCCACCAAGTTGCTGTCCCGTCTTCTCACTCTGCCCTAATATAGCATGGAATGCTGCTTGACGTCATACCCCTGTTTCCTGTCGGTTCCCCTTTCTCCCTCCCTGCCTTTCCTCTGCTCTCTCTCATTTTTCCCTGTTGCTTTCTCGGTTTTGCTTATGCCCCATCTCATGCCTACCCTCTACTTTCTCCCATTTTTAAAATGCATGGACATCTTAGTTTTTGGAGCATGTTTTGATCTGCAGGCTAAGGTGGTTTAAAACTCTGAGAGGCTTAATTACTTATCTTGGGTTTCTGGGACGGGAGCAGAACCCACGATCTATCCCAGAGGAGAAAAAGTAACCTTCTCAAACAGAGGTTGGGGGGAGACTGCCCTTGCTCCCCTGAGTTCCTTCCCACCCAGAGGGGTGGTGGATAGCCCTGAGGTTCCTGAGGTCAGCAGCCTAAGGGGTCTCAGCCTCTGGGAGGAAGGGAAGACCTAGCATGTTCCCTCCCTGCCTCCCTTTCCTCCTGCCGTCTTGCTGAGTCCACACCTTACGCACTGAGGGCCATGATCAGACAGCTCTGGGGCTCAGACCCAAGGAGGAACTAGCACACCCCTTCCTTTCAAAGGACAGGGACATCTGACGGGGGTTGCCTTCAACCAGGCAGCATCTTGGTTGCTTTCCAGGGGTGGAAAGCCAGCCGGCGCTTGCGCCCTGGTCTTCAGATGGAGAACCGGCCGCTGCTCTGATGATATCCTAGCGATCCTTAGATGAGCACGTCCCCTGTTTCTGCATGATTTTTACGCACGAGTGGCGTGATCCCCAGGATCACCTTCCCTACCAAATACTGTCCAACCAGACTGAGACTACTAGTAAGTAGGAGAAGCTTTGAGGGTCACACGCTCAATTTCTTGAAGTGACATCCCCGGCCTTTGATGCTAAACAAGAGAGGCTCTGGAATTCGCATTCCTATTTCTTACATAAACGGGTATGGAGAGGGCAAGATTCTGGTTTTGGTGCAGGGTCAAAATCAGTCTTTCTGGGTTACACACCGATCACCACAGTCCAGTCCCCCCCCCCCCCGAAGGTCCACGCTGCGATCCCCCAACTTCTTCTTTGTCGTCACTTCTTGTGACATGCTGCACCCCCATCCACTGCCCTCGGCAAACTGACAAGGGCGGGAGGCCCCTCCCTCCCTCCCACCCTCCCGGTCTCTCCTGCCAGCCTTTTGGGATGGGGGAGGGGAAGACCCCAAGTCTTGGAAAAAAAATTTCAAGTTTGAATCATAATTTAATCCACAACCTGCAGGCCATACAACCAGTTATTCTCGTTCCTTTGGGTCATTTTCTGTTTTTCTTATTCTTCCCCTTCCCTCATCTTTGTTTATCCTCTTCTACCTGTTTTTGGTGGATTTTTGTTTTTTTATTTTTTTACTTTGTTGTTTTTGTTTTGGTTTCTTTTTTTGTTTTGTTTTGTTTTTGTTTGTTTCTTTTGTTTTATTTTTGTTTCTCCCCTCCTTTCACCTGACTCTGACCTCTCTTGATTTGGTGTGGTTCTTAACAGACAAGCCTGAAAGTTCTCTGGGTGTGGGCAGCTGGTGGAGGGTGGAGGTGGTGGTGGTGGTATTGGTGGTGGTGGTGGTGGTGGTGGTGGTGGTGGTGGGTTGAGACCTCCAGCCTCTTCGCTAGCACTGCCTTCAGCTCTGTGGGCTCAACAACCAGCATTTTTGAGTTTCATGTTGATTTGAGGCGCCTGGGGAAGGGGCTCTGCCTTTCTCTTTTAAACACACAAACACACCCCCATGCACACACCCCCCCCATGCACACACACACCCCCATGCGCACACACACCTCTATGCACACACACCCCCCATGCACATACATGCTCTCTCCATTGGGGTGGGAGTGGTGGGGCTGGCGGTGGCGAGGGCGGCTTATGATGGGGGAAGAGGGGATGTCGAGAAGCCCCAACAGAGAGAATCAGGTTGTCGCTTCCATTTGGACACAGCCTCTTTCTGGCCAGCGGGTGCCACCATCTCCCCGCGGCTAGAGGCAGGGGGCCGGGCCCTTGGCGCTGAGTGGGGCAGGGGCAGCAGGTAGGTTAGGGAGTTCTCTTAAGTGCCCTGGTCACCGGAGTTAAAGTGAGGTGGCACCCCGGCCTCTCCTACTTGGCCCCCTGGCCCTGGGCGCGCCACCCGCCAGGGGCACCCGGGGCTCTGAGCGTGGGGTAACTCTCTCCCCTGGCCTCTCTGCCCTGTACTCATCGAGAACTCTCTCCCCCTGTTTCTAGGCGAAAAAAAAAGTGCGTTCGCTACATACAAGGTGAAGGCAGCTGCCTCAGTCCACCCTCTTCAGATGGAAGCTTACTAGACTCGCCTCCTCCCTCCCCACACCTGCTAGGCTCCCCTCCCCAGGACGCCAAGGCGCAGACTGAGCAGACCCAGCCTCTCTCGCTGTCCCTGAAGCCCGACCCCTGGCCCACCTCTCCATGATGCCCCCGCCGCCCGCCCTCCTGCTGGCCGAGGCCGCCCACGGCAAGGCCCCCGCGCTCTGTCCCAACGGGGCCCTGGACCTGCCGCCCGCCGCCCTGCAGCCCGCCCTGCTGCCCGCGCCCGCCCTGGCGCAGGCCTCCACCTCTGCCCTGCACCCCCACGGCGCCCTGGCTGCGCCCCAGCCGCAACCGCTCTCCCTCGTCACCAAGTCTTTAGAATAGCTGTAGCTTCCTCGGCCCTGGTCGGTTCGTGTGGTGTTCTTTGCAGTCGTCTCTTCGTTCTTGCTTTGCTTTACTTTCCCTCCCTCGGAAGGGTTTTGTTTTGTACTCTGATTTTGTGCCACGTGGCTACATGAGTTGATGTTTATCGAGTTCATTGGTCAATATTTGACCCATTCTTATTTCACTTTCTCCTTTTAAATATGTAGATGAGAGAAAAACCTCATGATTCTACCAAAATTTTTATCAACAGCTGTTTAAAGTCTTTGTAGCGTTTAAAAAAAATATATATATATATACATAACTGTTATGTAGTTCGGATAGCTTAGTTTTAAAAGACTGATTAAAAAACAAAAAGGAAAAAAAAAGAAGCGATTTTGAAGCAGCCCTCCAGAAGGAGTTGGTTCTGTATTATTTGTATTAAATACGAGCTTGCGAACCAATCATTTTACATCTGGTTTTTAAACCCCAAGGGCACGATGGATGCAGTGCCATGACCTTTTCTTTTCTTCTGTGTGAAACAACTTTTATTGTGATGTTACTTGTTATTGTTTAAATGTACAGAAACAAAGGGTTAAAATGTGTTAATATACCTTGTTCCATGGTGTTGTTCTTTTGGGGGGAGGGGATGCTACTCAACAATTAATGGAATCACAACGCTGTTGGACCAGTAGTATTTATTGCTTTAGAGATTGCTCGTCGTGCCTGTACGTTGTCCCTTTTAAAATATGTTTTCCTTTTTCTTGAAACTGTATAAAAGTTTTTTTCCCCCCTTAGCATAAGCATCTTATATATAACAACTCATTTGTACAAGGTTTTTAAGTTTATATATAAAATGTGTATATATATTTTTGTTTCCCTTTTGACTTTTTTTTTTTTTTTTTTTTTTTGCTGTATGAAACCCAGATACCGCCAAATGGACATTAATAGTTGCATTAAAGGATCAGTAGCATTAACAAAAGTTGCTTTAAAAGCCATTATGTAAAACAAGACTTGAAAATTAGTGAGGGGACTTTAGTGAGGCTGAGCAGCGGTGGAAACCACCCTAGTTTCCCGTGTGAGCTCGAAGTCGAACGCCCTGCACCCTTAGGACATGGACTGACTATGTGCAAAACTTTATGTGCCAAAATTCTCAGTGACTTTAGCTTTCTCCCTCTTTTTGATGCTGTAATTTTTGTTCATCATGTTTTGCTGTGATGTTACATAGTTAGATTTGTATGTAGTTTTAATGTCACCTATAACAAGATGTGTTTGGTAGCAGATTGTCCAGAAAGCATTTTAAATGAAGAGGTATAAACCCTTAAGGGCCAAAATTCTGTATATTAGATTACACTTAAAGGAAAACCAGCTGCCGCTTTTATGTACATGTATTACATACAAGTAGGTAGCAAACTTTAAAAATAAAAAAAACCTAGGCATGTTGATGTTGCAAAATGCTGTATAAAGCTGAAACCTGTTCATTCAGTGCCATTGTAGTTGACATGAAGCGATTGTAAAACTGTCTCCAATTTTTCTCTGGTTTATTAAAATGCTAACTATAACATTTTTTGTGAATACTTTGAATGTTTCCTAACAGTTGTGATGTTACTGTTCCGTTTTATGCTCTTATTCCAATTTCATTTTTAATGGTTTGGAAGCCATTTTTGTAATGAATAAATGTTCATGCTGTACAGTATCTGTAGCATGCCGTTCTGGATTAATAAAAGCAACTTAGTATGTGCAGATAAAGACTGGTCACTTGTTTCTGTGATTGGGATTTTCCCTCTGGGGGAAAAGGATCTGCCGCATCAAGAGAAGGACATTCTGGAGCAGGGTTGGTATAGGTGGGAGGTGGTGACTTGGTTACCAAAAAGTGGTCGTGAACTGTTTTGGGGCGGGGGTGGGGGGATTATTTTCTTTCTCTTTCGTTCTCATTGTCCATGTGGCAGGGCTTGGGTGCCTGGTTAAGTTCATTCCTGAAAGTAAGCACAATTTCAGAGCAGGTGTCACTCTGGCCACAGAATGGTCCCTCTAGTAGATGTTATCATCCCTCCCAGGACCAAGCATAAAGGATTTAATTCCAGTTAATGAGACTAAGTTCACCAGGGATGGCGTTAACCATGTTGTTCTACTGTTTCCGAGTTATTGATGTGAAAGTATCCTGGCTTCTTCCCGAGAGTTGCACCTAGGGAGAGATGCCAGGGTGCTGAATTGAAACCCCTTCTGTAGCAGTGAGTGATGGTTGAGCAAGAAAACTTTTGGAAAATCAGATCCAGCCGATTCACTTGAGATTTGTATGAAGGAGTCTTGCCGTTTGGGGGACCTAAGTCTCTCAGCTGTGCCCTGGCCAGGGCTCAAGTTCATCAACCCCTGCCATCTCCCCGACCCCCAGTTCTACGCTGAGATAAAGATCTTCCCAAGGTTTCCACTGGAATTCATTTCTCACGCTGGCCAGGAGGCCTGGATGGATGCGTGTTCCATTTATCCAGGACCATTGTACCTTCAAAGGGCGTGATTTGAATGGGCCTGGGAGCTGCTCTTGTTGCTGTTTTGTTCCTTGAGGTCACCGCGGTGTTGTCATCAAGGACCGCAACACCTCGGCAGCTCTGCTTTGCTCCAGCTAGTTTTTGTTCTATAAAATCTTCAGTATTTTGCTTTTGCTTTGCTTTGTGTTCCCGGGGAGGAGTGTTTCTGGTTTGTCCTTCCCCATTTTACCTTACACGCTGGGCCCAGAGTGACCTTTAAAAACACAAATGAGGGCCTCCCCGGTGGTGCAGCGGTTGAGCGCTGGGTTGCAAAGCTGCCCGCGGCCTCTGCAGTGCCGGTTCCATCCCCGGCTGCTCCCCGGCCACTGGAGGAGGGTCCCACACGGCGCGCAGACCTCTCCTGCTGCCCGCTGCTCCCCTCAGCAGTGTACTTCGGTCCTTCTGCCTGCTCTGCTCCCCGCTCTGACTCTGGTGAATTCTCTCACCCTCCCGCGCTTCTGACTGTACCCAGTGCTTGTATAAATAAAATAAATAAATAAATCTTTAAAAAAAAAATAAAAACACAAATGAGAGCGTGGCAGGCCAGCCATGTGCATTTTCTCCTTGCATCCGAACGTGGCCACCTGAGGTCGATATTTTTTATTCTTCCCCTCCACCCTCTGCTTTATTTTCTAAAACCGTCTTGTCCAGGGCCCCACGGCATGTAGGTTGGTGGAACAGCAGTTTAAATTTACACCTGACTCCAAACCCACACTCTTAACACCAAGGTCGCCTCCTCAATTATAAAGATGGTCTTCTCCAGCCATAGGGACTCTCTGAAGAGTTTCCTTCTTGGCTCTTCCCTCTTTCTCTGTCCTGTGAGTTCACTCACTCACACACTCGTCTCCCCTCTAGCCCTATTAGATGTGAGCTTCATAAAAGCTTTTTCCTCTTTGACTTTTAGACACGGGCTTGCCCTCTGCTTGCGGGCGGCAGGAGAGGTCTGCGCGCCATGTGGGACCCTCCTCCGGTGGCCGGAGAGCAGCCGGGGATCGAACCGGTGCCGCAGAGGCTGCAGGCAGCTTCGCAACCCAGCGCTCAACCGCTGCACCCCTGGGGAGGCCCTGGAAGGTTCTTTCTGCTCGTGCAACCTCACTCCCCACTTCCTGACTGGATGATCCCTCCTCACCCTTCAGGTCTCAGCACAGACATGGGTGTAGACAAGCATATTGGCTCCCTCCAGTGTGTTCTCCAGCCTCTTGTCTTTCCTGCCCCCGCACCTCTCTCATCCACCATTGTGTCCGTGGATGAGGGGTAGTGGACCGGTGTCCATCCACTAGGCTCTTTCTTGGCCTTAGCACCATTGACGTTGTGAGCTGGCTCATTCCTTGTTGTGGGGCTGCCCTGTGCATTGTAGGATGTTAGCATTCCTGGCTTCTACCCGCTAGATGCCAGCACCCACCATCCCTACCAGTCATGACCACCAGCCATGTCTCTAGACATTGCCAGATGTTTGCTGGTGGGAGGGGAGGGCAAAGTCACTTCCCGTTGAGAACTGTTGCTCTCCAGAGCCCGCCAAGAGCACAGGTCTGTGTATTTAGGGATCAGTGCCTGGTACATAGAGGTTGTGCCAGGTTCATTTACTGAAAGAAGGAAAGAATGAGGTTGGCCAACTTGGTACCTGTGTTTCAGGAAATAGGAGGATGGAAACTTCCCATATTGCTCCCAGATTTTGTGCTCGCAGAACTTCCAAAGTGCCAGTTGCTTCCTCCATCCTTTCAGTCATGCTGGAATGTAACTCTGAACCCCGTTACAAAGACAAAAAAAAACCAACCAACCAACCAAAACTCCCTAGTGGAGGACTCCTTTACCCGGAGTTTACCTTATTCTCAACAGCCCAGATCCAGTCCCTCGGATGCTGAGACCAAATCGTTGCCCTTCTACGCTTCTCTCCACGTGTTTGCTTCCTTTTCTACCTCAAGAGTTTTTTTACCAAGCTGGGCATCTTATAATTTCATCCATGAAAAACGGATCTGTGAATATTCTTAGTAAGAGGCCGCGAGCTAACAGGACTCCCCACCTCTGAGTCTCCTCCCTCCTGACCTCCGGCGAGACCCAGCCATGAAGTGTGCATATTAGGGGCGTGTTTTCATCTGCAGCTGTGTTGCAACCAGTTTGGCTTAGCAACAGCCATCACGGCTCCAGAGTCCAGAAATCTGGAACACAGGTGTCTCAGGTCATGCTCCCTCCAGAGGCTCCGGGGCTTCATCCTGTGTGCCTCTTCTAGCTTCGGGGGGCTGCCCGCAGTTCCCCCAGTCCCTTGACTTGTAGCCACATCTCTGAGATCTCCACCTCCTTCTCCCCATTGTTGCCTCCTCTGCCTGTCTCTTGTAAGGATATCTGTGCTTGTATTTTAGGGTCCACCAAGATAAGCCACTACTTTTTGGATCCTTAATTACATCTTTTTCCATATAAAATAATGCTCACGGGTTCTAGGATGAGGACATAGACATAGATTTTAGGGGGTACCATTCAGTAAGGTATGTGCCATTTCTGGGACAATCACAGAACATGAGCACAGAACCCTCCAGAATGGGCAGCTGTTCCACTTTTGGCGGTGGTTTTCATCATTTTCCACATCAGATATTTTGACAACGTGGATGCATATATTCTCAGAAGGGCCTTTCATCCGGGATTTGAAGAGAAGATGCCCCGACGCTGCAGCAGAATGCACCTGAGCTTGGAGAACCCCCATCTGCCCGCCTCCTCATTGCTGTCCTTGGGTGATCGCCGGATCTCTCTGAGTTTTCTGCTTCTTCAGCTACCAAGGGGTATGATAATACTGGTTTTGACAGGTTCTCGTGAGGCCTAGAAGGTCCTGTACCTGGAATAATAAATCATGGTGTTTATCGT